TTTTCTGCTTACTGATTTATACTGCTGCCAATTTTATTATTATTTCAGTTGATTTTTCCATTATACAAGTATTATGTACCAAGGATAATTTTGTTATTTCATTATGATTATACCTATATTTTTCTCATTTATTTGCTAGTAATTCCAAACAATATTAAATAATAATAAAAGGCACTGAGGTAGATATACTTTCTGTGGAAACTTTGTATTTTAAAAGAAATGCTTTTTTATTTCCCCTTTAAATTTAAGGCTAATGTTTCAGAGGTTGAGATAAATAATTTTATTATATTGGAAATATTTCTTTTATAAAGAATTTTCATCGGTAGTGGGCGTTAAATTTTTAAATGCTTTTCAGCATTTTTGCTATAACTATGGTTTTTTTCTTCTGAAATCTATTAGAATGAATTATGTCAGTAGATTTTAACCATCCTTGCATTGCTGGGTTAAAACCTACATGTTTGAAGAGTATTCTTTCTTTTAATTTTCACCACTTTTTAACAGGTTTATCATGTTCATTCTGATAACTATGAGACACAAAACCAGCACTTTGGAAGAAACTTAACAAAAGAAACTATAAAGGATGGTAAGTATTAAAAAATTCATGCTTTTATTATTAAACAATTAAAATAATTCTAAAGTTATTTTAATTCTCCTTTTAAATAATGATTCAATTCCAAACAAACTTTTCTGGGGGGAATGAAGCTTAAATTTGTAGAATTAATCCAATGAATAGAATTGCTGGTTCATAATACACCAAAACTACAGGATCAAAAATGTCCCGTTTTTACATTTTCATTAATTTCTTATTAATATGTGTTAGCTTTCTGTGGCTGTGAAAAAATCTCTGAGATAATTGATTTAAAAGGAGAAGGTGTCTATTTTTGCTCACAGTTTGTCCATAGCTGCTTGGTCCTATTGCTTTGGGCCTGCAGCCGCACAGTACATCATGGTGGAAATGTCTGGTGGAGGAACACTGCTCACTTCATGGTGGCTGGGAAGCAGAGAGAGAGAGAGAGAGCAGGAGCTGGGATACCAATATTCCTTTTAAGGGCACAGCCCAAGTGACCCAACTCCGGAAGTTTCCCTGTCTCCCACTAAGCATGCCTATGGCACATTCCTTAGAGGACATTGCAGGTCCAAACTATGGCAGTATCCTTTTTAAAAAAATATTAAACATCTGTGAACCAACCATCTAGCTCAATACTGAAATTAGAGGTTGTCTTTAAAACTTTTTTTTTTTCCGTACTGGGAATAGAACTCAGGACCTTGTGCTTACAAGACAGGCACGGTACCACTGAGCTAAATGCCCGGCCCATAAAACTCATTTTTTAGGTAGTCAGTCATAGAATATTGAAACTGCTTGTTATATAAGAGACTTTAAAATTGTCATGTTGCATATAATGCATTTTTTGAGACTTCTTATATATACTTGAGCTATATAAGCTTCTAGACCTACCGAAGAAACAATCAAGTGGTATTAAACTGGTTTAAATAAAGTCTGTTACATATATGCTTCTGAATATTGATGGTCAATAGTACAAAAGCAAACATATCCTGTATCTCTGGAAATTAATTAATTAATTGATATCCAGCCATCCATCCATTCCCCCCCCCTGCATACCAGAAATCAAACTCAGGACCTTCAGCTTCCCAGGCAGGCACAGCACCACTGGGCTACATCTGCAGCCCTGGAAATAATTTATTCTTGATTGTACTAAGATAGAGAAGAGTTTATGTGTAATACAGAGATTATAGAAGAATTTTTATGTTATGTATAAAAGACAAACATCCACAGTGTGAACTTAACAGCAAGATAGTTTTCAATTGGCTATTTTAAAAATATTTTGGGGGGCTGCAGTTTGGTCCTATTTAAATATATTTCTTAATTTCTGTAAAGTGGGTGAACACATTACTTAAAAGTAGAATCAAGTGGTATATACCCATAAATTTCCAAGTATGATAATATTTTAAGATGGAGTTTTAAAAGAGGTTAAAAAATTTAGGAGTCAGAATTTGGAGTTATATCAACTTAGGGAAGTGCTAGTCCCAGAAAAACATGCTTCAATTTTGTGAAAAGCTAATAAGTGTTATTGAGAAAAATAAAAATTAGTAGAATTATGGTTTGTTATTTGGTAGTAGACTGTTGACATTATTTAAAATGGTTACTATTTGACTCTGGATTTTAAATTAGCTCTTAAATATGATTCTAACAAGCAAGTAATTTTACTATAAAATCCCTCACAGTAGCAAATGAAACAAATCTTGGAATTACATTTCTTAGGAGAATACATAGATCTGGTCTACCTGTAATAAATTTCTTGTTTGAATAGGATATTCCACTTTACATTACTGAAATGTTTTCTAATAAGGATTCTTCACCAAAATTAGGTTGCAATCCAAGTTTTTAATCTGCCTATAGTTTCTGGAATTCTACAACTAGCTATTCAATTAATTGTAAGGAGGGCCGGGGATGTAGCTCAGTGGCACAGTGCCTGCCTGGCAAGCGCAAGGTCCTGAGATTGATCCCCGGTACAAAAAACAAAACAACAATAACACAATTAATTGTAGGGGATAATAGGAAAGAAATTGAAGAATTTTATCTACTGTGAGTTTACTTTCCAAGTAGTGATATTTCATAATTTGATTCTAATCCTAATACATTTTATTTTATAGGAGTCTCTAAGTTTTTTCATAATGGGTTTGGCTTAAGAAAAGATGCAGTTGCTGCCAGTATTCAGAAGATTGAGAAAATTCTGCAGTGGTTTGAAAGCCAGAAGCAGCTTAACTTTTATGCAAGTTCATTACTATTTGTTTATGAAGGTTCATCTCAGCCAACCACTACAAATCCAAATGACAGAACTTTGGCAGAAAAGCTCTTGTCCAAAGGACAGCTGTCAGACACTGAAGCACTGGAGTACAATAATAACTTTCATAGGTTAAGTTCCACAGTGAATGGCAAACTAGAGTCTTCAGTAGGCAAGAACTTATCCAAGGTGTATGCTCGTCACAGAAAAGTGTGTTCAAAAAAGCATCACAGTCAGACTTCACTGAAAGTTGAAAATATGGAGCAAGACAATGGATGGAAAAGCGTGTCACAAGAACACTTAAATGGAAATGTACTTTCCCAACTGGAAAAAGTTTTCTACCATCTTCCCACTAGTTGCCAAGAAATTGCAGAAGTAGAAGTGCGAATGATAGATTTTGCTCATGTATTCCCTAGCAACACAATAGATGAGGGATATGTTTATGGTTTAAAGAATTTAATTACTGTACTTCAAAGTATTTTAGACAATTGAATCTTTTGCTGTAGTCTTTTTAAGGAGTGGGCCAACTATACTGAAGAGCAGCAGTCTATCTGCATCTGTAATGGTATGTAAAAAATTTGTATTGTGAGTAGACATTTTATTTGTCTTTATACTTTTGGTAGAAAGGTTATCTTTTTTATACTCTTACTCAGGAATACTAATTTGTTCATTAGAAAACTATGAAGAATAAAGAAACAGGAATGTTAAGCAGGGACTGTGGCAGTACATGGCTTCAACATC